GCCTCGAGGGTTGGTGCCAGCGTTGACGACTTCAAGCATATATTCGGCTGGGTTTTCCTGATCACCACAGCGGCGAGCACCATGCGACTCGAAATAGTCGAGCAGCGTCCGCGAGTTCTCTCCAATAGGGCCAAAATACACTGTCTTGCCACCTCGAGCCAAGAAGAGCAGCTGGTCAAATTGCTCGAATAGGATGGCACTAGGCTGATGAATGGTGCACAGAATGGCTTGTCCTGCGTCAGCCAGCTTGCGGAGGAAGTTGCAGATAGCCCAAGAGCTCTGGGAATCGAGACCACTACACCAATTAGCACAAGCCAAAATCCGAGAAAAACTGTCTTACCTGGTCGGTTCATCCAAGAACAGTAACAGTTGCGGCTTAGCCGCCAGTTCCACACCAATGGTCAACAGCTTGCGTTGCTCAACATTCAAACCCTCGCCAGGCACACCGACCACTGCCTCAGCAAAGTCCTCCATGTTGAGCATCTTGATGACCTCTTCCACATACGCGTATTTCTCCTCTTTGGATACAGAGGCGGGCTGGCGCAGCATCGCGCTAAAGCGCAGACTCTCACGCACCGTGGCCGTCTCAAGATGCAAATCCTGCTGCTGCACATAACCCGTTTTTCGTTGGAAGCTTGAATGGAGCGGTTTACCATTGACAAACATGGCTCCAGTGATAACGCCCATGGTTGTACGGTGTGCCAACACGTCAAGCAGCGTGGTCTTTCCCGCACCACTGACACCCATTAGGGCCGTCAATGTACCCGGCTTGACCCAGCCTGATATGTGATCAAGCAGCCGACGAGGCTCACCTTTGATCTCGATATCGTACACCACGTCGCGCCAGGTGAAGATATCCTGCTGAGGAGGAATCGACGCAATACCTTGGTCTTGCTTGTTTTCTTCAGCGGAGGAAGAAACCACCGTCTTGCCAGCGCCGGCCTCTTCATCCGCACCAGGCTCGTGTCCATTCTTCAAATGGGCAGGCTCGTGGCCTCGACGGAAGACGAGAACCTCCGCTGAGCTGGTCGTGGCGGAATTGAGTTCGGTTGCGACGAAGTAGATGACCATGAAGCCAATCAAGAATGCTATCAGAATACCAAAGTTTCTCCAGACATGCGAATAGCTGTAGCTGTACGACGCTTGGATGTATGCATCTCCACTTACAGTCCGACGGCCGGCAACAGCACCCCTTGCCGAGCAGACGAAGGAGTCGCCTGATAGAGTGGGATAGGCAGGGATAAACTGTGAACAGATAAACTCCCGCCCATGAAACTCATTGGCTATCAGGATCTCAAAGGCGTAAAAAATAGGATTCAGATAGTGAATCCACTTGAACCACGGGTGCATATAATTTACTGGAACAACGAATCCGGTGTAAATTACTAGCATCAAAATCAGGACACCGGCCAGTGTCATGGCTTGGGAAACAGTCCTGGTGATTGCGGCCATGGTCCGGAAGACAGCACTCATGACGAACATGATGATGAACGTAATGAGGAAGTAAATGAAGAATTGGGACGGTTCGCGACGTAGACCACTCAGGAAATAGAGAATAATGTTGAACGCAACGGCCATGAGGAACTTGACTGGGATATCACTGACAACCCCTGCAATGGCCTCGGTGGCCGGATGATAGAAGGCAAAAGATGCATGTTTCTCAACGATTGGCCGCTGGGAATATAAGCTATTAATCTCAGTCATTGCGGTAAGGGCATTAAGCAGCACGGCGTAGAAAAGCGTCGCACCCTTGGCGTAAAACCCCGCGGTGGCCGTAGGAGTTCCGAAAAAGACAGAACCCACGATCAAGGCGAGAATGCAATTGCCAATGAACGTAGTCATAGTGGAAGTCCGTTCATTCCACACTCGTTGATACGCACGCTTGGTGTTGAGCTTGATCTGCATGGGAATGCTGAGGAGATACGGAGACTTGGCCCGGGTATGGGATGCCTGCGCCTGGCGCTTGCGCTGCTGAAATTCGAGGAGTTTCTCATTGGACTGCGAAGACGTTTCTCCTTGGAAAGCAGCCATCTCCCGCTGAAGCTCTTTGTATTCTTCCGACTGGTGCCAGTATGCTTCGAACTCAGCCGCGGTTCGGGGCACCTGGGACTCCATGCCGGGCCGAGCTCGTCTTTCAATTGGGTTGGTCACCGATGTGAGGAAATCTCCGGTCGTCTGACGTGGGGGACAGAACCATCCTTGCCGTTCGAAGAATGCCTTGGCCTGGCTGGCCGGGCCGAAATAAATCTGGCGTCCCTCGTACAGCACCACAGCTTTGTCAAAGAGATCATAAATGGCCTGGCTGGCTTGATAAATCGCCACAGCGTGAGCGGACGAATTCAAGTCTGCAGCCAGTCGCAAGGATTCGACGAACTTCAACGCGGTTGCCGAATCCAACCCTCGGGTGGAATTGTCCCAGGCGGCCAACGGAGCGCCTGCCAGAGCCATCTCCGCGATACTGACTCGCTTGCGCTCACCACCGGACACTCCTCGAACCGTGTCGTTTCCAACCTTAGTGTTGTAGGTGTGGCTAAGGCCGAAAACAGCCATGACGACTTTGGTCATCATCTGAGCATACTCGCTCCTGGACATACCGCCCAGTCTTTTAGATGGAGTGCGCACCGCTGCCGCAAATTCCAGAGTCTGGCCGACAGTCAAGTGAGGGAAATGCTTGTCGACTTCCTGGTTGTAGACGACTTCGCCTTTGAACTCTTTGATCATCGTAGTTTGAGGAATTCCGCTGTAGTGAAGGACGGTCTTCTCGTCAACGTTCAAGCCATGTAGTTCCCCACTGAGAGTCTTGAGGAAAGTGCTGCACCCTGAGCCGGGCCGACCCAGCACAATCAGCAACTCCCCGCTGTGCAACACACCGTTGAAGTCATGTAGAATAGTCTTGGAGGTTTTGTTCCGGAAGTTCCAAGTCTCCCGCCGAAAGGGAGCGGTTATAATGTCTGCGACCGTCTTCTGCAATTGCAAGGCCGCTCCAGTGCCGGAGACGCGAAGATGTTGGAAAAATATGCTGGCTTCTTTACGAGGAACTCCTTCTTCATTGAGCACATGGACAACCTTCCGTAACCATTTGTACAGATCAAAGTCTTTATTTTCCGGGTCCAGAGCCGGATCATCGAGTGAGATGTCGGCCACAGTGCTGACCCTGGAGACTGCATTGTCACGGCTGGCTAGCTGAGTGAGATAACGAGCTTCATCCGGGGGGATGGAAGCTCGTCGGGTTGCTACCGGAGTCAGCTCGTCGTATTTCTCTCCACGACCGTTGTGCCCAGTTCCGGTCGATGAGGTAGCGACTGAACGAGAACCGGCTTGGATCGGCGCATATTCACTTGCAACGCCGTCTGATATGTCTTCTGCCATTGTCGATTAGTATGCGATAGAAAGAAGGTGACAAAAGAAGGGAAGCTCTGCTGCTAGATTCTATGAAAATGAGGGAATGAAAGGCTGTCTTTTAGATGACTTAGATGACACAAAAGAAAGTTAAATGAATGGGAAAATATGGACGATATAAAGGAACGACAGTAATGTGGTACAAGAAGAGAAAGTCAATCTCGATGTGTCTGACAGGGACATGGAAGGCATTCTAGACTGAACGAGCTACAGAAGAAGTACCATGTGTCGGGCAATCTGCAAACCCATTTTTGGGCGTCTTTGCTTTATGCAAAGCATTATGGCCGTATATTGCCTCTGAATGCGCCTTAATGACAAACGGGAGCAAAATGTGACGATGCCGAGAATCCACCGTGGATCCGGAACCAGAAAACGTTGGACCCGATCAGTGACCAGCACTCTCCGAATCCGTGAGCCTATTGAGTACCGTAGATCCCCTTGTAAGGCCCACGGTTACCACTGGTTAACTTGGTTCGGCTGGTAGCATGTGTCGGCCCTCAGCTTATGACACCGAGAGGTGGTTCATCCGCACAGTGATTGCCGGAGCCGCCGGATATCCCAGTGGTCAAACAGTTAACGGAGTGATGATTCACCCGAAGCTCTCAATAATGAATAATCAGAGTTACTAGTAGCTCAGTATGGATCGGGTGGATACCTTCAGGGATACCTCTTTCAGAAGTCGACGCGAATCAGGCGGCCAGATAACAGTAGGACGACAGGACGGCAGGATGCAGGTAAGATGATTGTTTGTGTTTGCAGTGTATCTCCAAACAAAGTCCGTCAAGTCTGGCGTCTGCTTGTCCCTGATGGCTCCTGGTACGTATCCGGAGTACAACTACTAAAGATCATCGGTTGATGCTACTTATCCAGATGACGATGACATGTGCGATCGAAAGTCTTGGCACGTGTCCAGGGATCGACGGTCGACCCTCCATCCCCGATAGTGCCTGGACATCTGAAATTCTTCATCCAGGAATCAATGATCCTTATAAATATATATTATACCACTAGTCTAAAAATGTATCCGGGTATCCGGACGATGCACACGTCAGTCTAGGGTGGCATATCCAGAACCATGGTGATATAATATTGAATTGGGTCATTCACTGAAGCCTCGCAGATTTCTGCTATCTTAGTGAATTGCTTTTATTGATTACTGACCTTGTAGGTGTATGCACTACAGAATATGACCCTCAGAATTTGCTTTAACAATGATATACAGAAGCCGCCTAAGATAGATACACTGATCCGATATAGACCGGGGATTATATATATATAATTTAGATTGGGCAATGAAGATCAAGACGAAGTGAACATACTCCATCTGCGATCTCATCAGGTTCAGAATCTGCTTCCAGCCTTCTCATACTCTCTCTTCAGCTCTCGCACAGCACAATCAAGCAAGAGCCGAGCGTACCCCCGATGAAGTCTCCCCGTCCAACCGGGTATCCTCTTCTGATGCTGCAGATCTCCCTCCTCAGGCACAATCTCGTAGTCATGTGCGGAAGCAAATCGCACCTCTACGAAAGGCCCCTGACTTTCATCGTCTTCCACCCCATCAAACCGCTCCGACACACTTAATTCATGGCGACCACCCGACATCAACCGCCACGGATACCCCAGCGAGCGATCTTCTCAAAGAACCGACGTGGTTCATCCGGCACACGCCAGGAAACCAGCAGCCCATTCCCGTCATCCTCTGACGGTGGCCGCTCCACAACCAGCACACCATTCAGAAGCGTAAGGGACTCCCCCGACGCATCAGGCGATGCGAATCCCGCAGGAGTATCGCCAGTGTCCCCTGGAGAGAACTTTCCTTTAGCCAGGAGGCCAACGAGGCCCCCTTCTGCGCGGAGGATCTTGTTGCCTATGAACGCCCGAGCCCATGCACTAGTGATTTCGAAGTTTGTACTTTTGCGCTTATGAGGAAGGTCGTCTGTCCCTTGAGCTCGGGGCTGCAGTGCTTTGACCGGCACGCGAGCCGCGTAGACATCGGTATATGCACAAAACTGGGTTGAGGGATTCCGTGGAGTGCGAAGAGCGATGCTAGTTGTTGGTTCAGGTGGGAGAGGGGGATATTGTGCCTCGAGCGCGCTAAGGCCTCTGTGGATGCCGTATCCGATTGCCACTGGAGGGACAGCGAGGATGAGTAGAAGACGTGTCCTAGATCGTGCTGCCATTATTGGTCGGGACTATGGAATAACGTTTTGCTGTGTGGAATCGATGGTGGGACAGTTGGATTGTGAGATCGATCTCGAGTGGACAGGTCTTTTTGACCTTGGCCGTGCCCAACTGAAGGATCATGCCATCCGAGTGTGACTGGTCCCAGCATTTTGGTTAGCTTTTCGGAGAAATGATGGTCGAGATGAAACATCATTTGTCAAGGTATTGGAAGCTATCGTCTTTGTTGATCATTAAGGTAGTCTATGCTCTGATAGTGGAAGCATAAATCCTGAGGTACTTCATAGTCCATACTATTGAGAGCATCCCGAGAACTTCAGAAAGCAATTAGCACTCCTCTGTCCAGCGAATAATTTGGCAGCTGAAAGTGCAGTCTCTTTCTATAAAAATCGGCACAGAATGATAGCGACTCATACTTATGGATCGATGCTGGATAAGCTCATCTTTATTTCGTCCATCCCCACCCGTCCCGAATATCGCTGTGCCCTCAACTTTTTTCTTCCCCGCACATACAATTGCAACAAAGAATATTCCTCGAAACCCGGCTCAACTCACCGTGCAATCTCTTAACCGTGACATCTCAGAATTTAGAAAATCTACATCGTCCCTTAGTCGTGACCAAACGATCCGCACATAAGCTGATTCACAAATCTGGTCTCCCCGCATTCTACTGACCATGACCTCACCACAAGCCAATTCCCTCGACGACATCTTCGGCTCGTCCCCACCCCACGAGAACACAAAAACCCCCCAACAACTATCCAGCCAAGCTCCTGAGCCTTCGGATCTTCCCTCTCTCCGCCGTCAACACGTCACAGCCGGCTACCGCGATGGAGTCTCCGCCGCGAAAGGCGAGCACGTCCAGCACGGCTTCGATGCCGGCTTCCCAATCGGCGCACAGCTAGGCATGAGAGCAGGGACGGTGATCGGGATCATCGAAGGGTTACTGCGCGGATTTGAGAGTCGCGCTGCGTCCGGAGCAATAAAGAAACCGCTTCAGCGGAAGGAGGAAGGGCAGGGAACCGAGGCAGACGAAGCAGCGCGGCAGGCGAAGCGGGAGCAGCTGCTCAGATTATACCAGAAAGCTGTGAAGGAGCTGGAAGTCCGGTCCGTATTTGCCGGGAGTGAGGAGGAGAGCACGCAAAACAACGAGGGGCAGGAGAAACCGGAGGTTGTCCTCCGCCGGAAAGGGGACGCCGTCATTTCGCAGTGGGAGGACCAGGCCCGGGTGGCGCATTGGGAAGAGAATATGGCCGCCCTGGAGCCAAAGGAGGATGAACAGCGCGCGTCAACATCAACAGAGCAGATATGAAGATCGTTGCTGTCGTTATTATTCAACTCGACGCCATTTCCATCGCTTGCTTTGGGCCGGACCAGGCTCATGCCGTGCGGCTGCGGGCTCCGTGCTATCCACACGGATTCGCACACACCGTGCTACCGACGACACAGCACCTGCGAGTGATCGACCCTGCAGCGACGGCAGCTGCAAAGCCTGCAGTTCCAGTCTCCTGGCAGAACTGAAACCGATCAACCGGTCCGCATCGGCAGCGCAAGGCTCTTATGAATATTGCAGCGGATGTGGATTCCAATGCATAAGCAGGTGGAAGCTCCAGCCCGATCCCCACCCCCACGAAGAACGTGGAGCAGCGAAGCTCGAGACCAGTCAGAGAAGTTAGACTAGTACTCAGCAGATGGACAACAATTACAAGATACTCTCTTCCAATTGAGACGTGTACGATGTGTACGAATAATCTAGATAAACGCTGTATATTCCTTTCCTGGAGTCCAACTGGGAAGCCCCCGCACCAATTCACCTCGCCCGCACCTCAATGCAAGACATAACCGAGACATTATTGAAGTAACTGCAGCTGCAGCTTGCACCTCCAGCGCCAAAAAGCCACTCCGACCCAGCCCGCAGGGACAAAATACCCCTCGTTACACATAAAGCTAGCCACAAGTACCTAGGAAGAAAAGATGGCAAATTATACAGTACCCCGTACCACCGCCAGAGACCAGCAAAGTAACGTCTCCCTTCCAGGGTAGCGGATACAACAAGGGGTGGGAAGGCTTGCGCCGGTGCGGCTGGTGGCTGGAGGTTACAGTTTGGCTAGACTATTGGAGCTATATCCTATTTGGATCAAGGGATGAAAGCCAACCAGAGAGTGTAGATAACTGCGCACTAGACGGAGGTCTGTTCGGCGGCCATCCTCATTCCTGGATACGTACGCCGGCTACACTTTGACCGATGGGCGGGATTACCCCAGCATTCCGGTCCATCCTGGAAGACTCCTGTGGTTTGTTTGTTTTGGCTTTTTCCTGGTTGTTCGTGTCGAGATTGGAACCTATGGGTACATTTGGCTTGCGCCTTGTATCTTGGCTATAATTCTTGATTTGACGGAGTAGCATAGAGAGAGAGGGAAAAGATCGGGATATCCATAGCAAGGGACGATGTGATAAGCCGAAATGGACAGATAGGAAAGTTTCCAAAGAACGTTGAGAGTGGAATCATCAGACGCAAAGAAAATCAAAGAAAGACAGGTTGATAACAGGTAGACGCAAAGAAAGAACGTGCCAAGGCCAATGGTGACAACCGATCCAAAAACTCCATCCGTTGCCTCATTATTCATACATGAACCCGCTCAGGACAGCTGTTGCTGCCTCTTCGGACATTATATCATATGGCAGACATATCAGGGTGTTGCGCCCCTGCTCATTAGATCATTGGAGAGAGCTTCTCATCCCGTGGTAGTGTTCGTCGTCAGCATCCGAACTAGACAGCTCCTCTACTAGGAGTGTCCACGGTCGTAAAGTAGATCATAAGACATTATTTCAAAGGCACCCAATCGAATTTGCTTCATCTGAATAATCGGCCACTCGACATAAGCGGCAGGATAGAACGTAGAATCAGAACGTGATCTGAACGCCATTCGCCAACTGCAGCCAGCAAGAATCAATTACATCGGCTTTCGTGGAAAGGATTTAGGGGGAGTTATGTCACCATGGCAGCCAAGGAGACGCAACGACTCCCACACGCGTTTGTAGAGCGGAGGGCGCGCAAGTGTCAGGCTGTGATGAATGGCCACGTCAGATCGATCCTCGCGGCAGAAAGTACAGACCTTCTCCCTGTCTGTGACACGCGACGTCGCAAGCGAATCTGACCGCTGTTTGCGTCTGGATCTGGCCTGGATGGCAGCCGCAGCAGACCGGTCAAAGTCGTAGTTCCGAGGCTGATCCCGATCCTGACCCCTAGTTTGGCTGCTGTTTCGACGAGATCGAGGTGTTCGAGGTCTCACAAGGGAGGTCGTTGACGGGTTAACGAGTCGCAGTGTATGCAATGGCGACGGCCGAAAGACCTCACGGCTTGACAACGTCAACGGTGCCATGTATTTGACAGGTTCAGGAAATGGATCCCTGGGAGGATGATCAGGCATTGTGGGGAATTTCTCCAGGGGCGGATCTGTTGGCGGAGAGGCTGTGGAGTTCTGCAGTTTGGGAGCGGACTTCGCAACACGAAGTTGCACCCGACTGCGGACTTTCTTCAGGGTGTCCATAGGCTTCTTCGACAGTGATCTCGGACCCAGGGACTCAGAATCAGAATCTGGCTCCCACACAGAATGCTCAAAGGGGGCCTCGGAAGCTGAGGTCGACGGCCTTTGACTTTTCGAAGAGACGGGGGCTTCATTCGTTGTCGTTGGAGAGGGTGGGCCACGACTGGGTACAGGACTGGGGCATTCGTTGGCAGGAATAAACATCGCTTGATCGAAATGGGTTGTGTGTGGCTCGAGAGTGACCGGGTTGATGAGACTGGGAGGGGAAATCATCGAGGGTTCAATCGAAGGTCGACGACCGGAATTGGTGCCCCTCTTGCTGGGCACACCACTGCCGTGTCGTGGATTGAGTGGAAGAGATGGGAGAGGCTTCCCGCGTCGGGATGAAAGGTCCTGATCCTCTGTTCGCGGCATTCTCAAAGTTTCCGCGGAACTTGTGAACTCAGTATTCCGCGCAGGCGTTGACGGACGGTTGGACGAAGCTGGTCGTAGACCGACTGGTGGCTTAGAAGAAGCTTGATTGAATTTCTCCAGAGACTTTGAATATGTACCCTGGGTTGGCAACTGGACTGGCAGAACGGGGTACTCAGAGCCTTGCAGGCCACTGTCGGGGTAGATTGGGGAGGAGTAGTTTGACGAGAACGAGCTGCTCGGAGTCAAGTCGGGAGTTGCGTCTGTCTGTTCGGAGCTGAAAGAGCCTTGGCTCTCGTGCAGGGGATGCTTTTCCCAACGTGGAACTGCAACTTGTGGTGGAAGAGAGTATTGATGCTCGAATCCAACGACGGTAACTGTCGATCGATCAGGTTGACTGGGACCACGAGTCCGTTTTGACTCGCCTCTTACAGATTTGGGAAACGTCGGTTCCTTCTGGCTGTGGTTCCTGGAGGATAACATGAAATATTGATTGGACTCCTCGCAGAATCGGACATCGCGAATGTCCCGTCTGCTACTACCCCAAGCACCCGACCTGCCCAGGGAGTGTTCGAGATAGAAGGGATCCGGGCTGGTCTCGTCCACAATCTCTGGGCCGAGCTCAGGATAGAAGGACGAGGCGCGTTTCTTAGCAGTGGACGATGAGGGCAAGCGGACTCCAGTGTAGGGTCTATTCCGGGCTTTCAGTGAAGCGTTGAGGTCGCCGGGAAGGAAAGAATATTTGCCAGCCATGGGCTATGGTTGTAAGAGTTACAACAATTGTGACACTATGTTCTCAGCGATAAACTGCTATCATCGAGAATGCTTAACTGATGGTGAGCATCTGGCGCCGAAGTCGATAACAGCAAAGGGTCATCAAGAGAGTGTCTGCAATATCTCAAAGACTGGAAGGGGGTGAAGGGGGTATGTTTATACTACATGCTTCCCCAAAAATAACTTTTCAATGGCCGCCCTTCAAGTTCCAGTACCAGACTACCAGTGAATTGGTGGCTAGGCCGGGGAGGAGTCCGAAAAGCGTCAGCGCATGCCAACGGAGTATGATAAACAAAGCTCAATGATCAGAGCGCACGGACTTTAACCACCTATCAGACCTTACATGGCCAGGTTCCCTTCCACAGGGATAAGAGGCGCTGCAAGGCGAAACGGCCACCCAGACTGGAGCAAGGGAGCTACCGGAACCCGATCCGTAGGGCAGAAGGTGCGGGGCGATGCAAGTCACACTTTACTCATGGCCAAATGCACGGAATAATCATATAGCGTGATCGAAATTGCTTAGAGTTGTCTCCCCATTTGGTCGTTGCAGCAAGCATTAGACGCTCGAGCGCCTCTCTCCAGATACGGGCATAGGCGTCATGTACAAGCACGCTTGATTTTGTGCTTGTACAAGGTCCTACTGAATGCTGTCACTGGTTATGCAAGTGTACCATGGCATGGCTGCAAAAGAGTCAACCCGTCGAGCGGCGGTTGTAGACATTCTACTGACATCATGTGCAGAATAATTGAGTGCACCTGATACGATGGAGAGCTGGCATAGAACAAGTAGCGACAGCCTGGGAAGTGGTGACAGATGACAGGTAAATCGGCCAGAAATACTAGCCGGAGGCTGGAGTGTTTCGAATCCCCTAGGATGATTTCGCCTTGGTACCAGATAGAGAGAATGTGAGATATCAAATTCAGGATGAGTAGCGCTGGGGCATAGCCGCTAAACCTTGGCCCGAGTTCCGCTCGCTGCAATGGTGGCCGATCGTGTCGATCGCTCTCCACCAAGACTCTTCAGAAAAGCACAGTCATTATTATGTTTTCTGACGCCACATTTGTCTAGATAGGGCTCGAAGGGAGAGTCAGACAGTGCCCTCATCGGGTCGGCCAGTGAGTCTCAGTCATCCCCAGCATTTGACCGCGCATGGTCCATTAAGTCTTAATGACTGAATTGATCAACCGGAAGTCTGTTACTCTGCACAGTAGGCAATCAGCCTGTAGTCCCGCATTCCGGGTCCCCGGATGGTTGAATCTGCGTCTTATGTCGATCAGTCTAAGCAGAATTTCCGCTCTAGATCGTATCCTTCTCGCTGCATGGCCGCACTTTTCCGTAGATACATGTATGATAGACTGGTATTGAAAATAACGATGTAGGCGAGGGGAGCTCTGCTGGAGACGACGCAAACTTCCTAACGTTGCTGGCTTGGACGTGGTTGGAAAGTACGATTCCGATGACAAGTAAGATTTCTTTCTATTGCGGCGGGATCCAGGAGGAGATGAAGAGAGTAGTGGTTAGAGACTGGAGGATCGATCGAGTCGGCCTCGCCTCTATGACTGGTGTTGGGACTTGAAACTCTCGCGTAGGTAAAAGCACCACCCTCCTGCTATCTCATCGGGAGGACCGAACTCCTTAACTAGTGATAATCCTAGATTCAGCCGATATCCATGAAGTTGGTAGATGCATGGAGTTGATAACTCGATATGCTCGTGGTATCGTCCATCTCCATCTTCTGCGCGATAAACAATAGCCCGAATGATTTGCATCGGGGTCTCTGCGACGCATACTGAACGGGGAAATGAAACACTGGTTAATCGACAAATGACATCATGGGGAGCAAAAACGTACGGAATAACTGAGCAACTCAGGATTAACGAAGAATTCGATAATCCTGCGAAAGTACGGGGTTGGATGGATGGATGGATGGAAAGAATACAAGGTTAGGGGAGGGCGTCGGGGAAGCAACAAGGTCGCATAACCTGCATTCCGGTGGCGCAGGGAAATGGTTCCCAGTATCTGGGCCTCAACTCTTGAGCCCAGCACTGATTGAAATAAATACCAAGTACATTATTCTATGGCTGTGCTATGTAGCTACTTTGTTTGGTCTATGAATGGTGGATGTAACGCTGAAGCAGCCTGGTTCTGTGCAGAGCTGCATCTTGTTCAATTCACGTATCTGCCGGGGTTTGATTCCGTTGTCTTTGTTTTTTTTCTTCTTTCACAGGGATGGAAACTAGAGTGTTCAGGCATCACTCATTGATAGATTCAATCTGGACATGGTCCTTTTGCCATGCCAGTGCCACTCTGAATTGATTTCCAGAACCTGAAGCACTGGAAGACGAGGGGTGGAAATATCCTAGAATTGTTGATCCATATCACATTTTGGACAATCTAGATGTTCCACTTGGCCTGGACCCGGTCTCGTCGGGATCCTGGGATTCACCACTCTGCCTGATCATATTCCGAAATGAATGCTGCATGGTGCTGGTGAGCCATGCATCGATCGACGTGAGCGTAATGACGCAGAGCCCCGTGGAATCAATGAGGCACAGTTTCCAAATATGAGTAAGTGCTGAGGTGCAGGTACACTATCAGACATTGCAGCCATAGGTCAAGTATACCAGTAAGGATGAGTTGATAATTCTGAGACCGCAACGGATGGGTTGGGTTCCAGAACTCGAAGGCTTGATATTCTCCGATTCGTACGGTCGCCCTTGCTGGATTTCTTTGGCTCATCTGGTATATATCTCGAAGATCCTTATTTGCATCTTCATACCATGAAGTGAGTTTCCAGTGTTGCAGTGCCATCACCATAGAGATGTTGTAGGGCAGTGAGCCATGCATATCTTCATTTCTTTTTGTCTCTGACGGTCATTGAGAATCGTCTGTCAAAGCTCATCAGAGAAATGGTCCCTACGTGACGACTGATGCAGGGTTTGGTTATGTCTAGACAGCCGCCTCATGAGACCCTGGAATAATGATGATCGTCGGTGTATTGCCGCGTATTCTGTATATCCAGAGTCCAAGATTTCGAGTCCTCAACCGACTAAAGCAAATCCATGGAATCGGTTACAACCATAGTGGGAAAGATCCGGGGACCAACGATCAAGGGTTCGTTCCAGCAATAAGGTAGACCAAGGAGGGACTGATCTGGGTACCATGGAAATAATTATTGAATCTAGGGAGCGACACCTTGCTGCTGCTGCTGCTGCTGCTGGCTTCTGTTGCCATGAGAGTATCAACACTGGAGCACACTGAAATTAAAAATCACGTCACTGGGACAGGCATCAAGGTTTTGCTTGACAGGAAATGAGAACAGCGAATCTTGTGCATTTGACAGTGCCAACGCATCGCCAATGCAGCATCGCGGCTGCTACGCTTTGCGAGCGGGAACCAGGAATTAGTGAGAGACGGCTGTCTAAGTAGCGACCACGGGACATTGGGAATAGCGACAACTAGCGATTTCTTGCTTTTCCAGGTTGGTGGAAATAGATCCGCCATAGAACCCCATCGTTCTCGATTTGAATTCACTTCCCCAGTTGGCTGACTTTAGGATGTACTTGCTCGAACTTGACTGGAAATCAAGGCCGCAATTCGCAAACCCAACAAAGTGCCAGTCAGATTGGTACACGACCGCAGTATCTCAATCGGATTCTAGGAGGGCTCAACGGAATCAGATCACCTTTTCTTTTGCTTGTCCTTGTAATAAGACTTATTTATAACCTGCAAAGAACTTCTTTGTGGATGAGCTTCCTTGATGTTCTTCCCGGGATGTCATGGGTCATAGTGAAAAATATCAGCGGTCTAGAAGTAAGCAGAAGGCTACGTGCCGTCCTATCTATAAACGTACGTTTATGTCATAGAACAGGTAGAGAAGAGTGAATTGGCCCAATTGATCTTCCATCGAATCAGTGTTGGCGCCAGTCAGCGGTTGTTGGCCCTCGGAAAGTCCCTCGACTTTTCCTCTTCCCCCGGCCGCCGTCATCGTGTCTTCGCGGACAACTGTGCAGCTAGCTACTACGACTTGGACAATCTTCCAGCAGCCATTGAGCTCTGTCGCTCAACTCCATGACGCCTACGAGCCATTTCCAGATGCTCGTGGCGGTCTGGTAGTGCGCTGAGCTGAGTTTTGAGGTGCGTCTTTGCGTTGTTCGTGGGTTTCCTTGTTCCATCCTCCTGCAGCTTCTATTTTCCCAGCCATCCCATTTAATCCTCAGAGCTGTATTTCCCACCTGGACCGCACCACGCACAACCCCATTTGACCAGCCACAGTGTCTCCTAGCTCCTTCTGTCGGGGATGCTGCCATCTTCTCTTACCCAATGCTTATTCCTGTATCCATTTTTTTTATCCACATTCCTCCTCGTTGAAGTCGCTCACCATCTTCTTCTCACAGGCGGGTTCAAGGTGATTGCTGGAAGAAAGAAAGACCTCCGACAAGCGGAATCTCCACTGAGCTGCCCTGCACTCGCTGACGTCGGCGAGTTCAGACTCGCAATTAGTGTTTGTGAGAATCGAGTCGCAATACCCTCACGTTGTCATCGCATCCCTCTCCACGTCCCCTACAACAATCCTCAACAGTGTATCACCACACCCACGGCCCAATTGACGAGACCTACGAAGTTCACGACCCATCAGAGTTTACGACCGTTCCACGGCAACGCCAGCAGCAGGCTGCTGCTCCTAATCCTGCGCTTGATTCTTTCCTGGATCCATTAGCCCGCCCCTCGAGTGCTTTGGGAAGTCCCCGTTCGTTACGCAGAACACCTCGTCTCACTCACCGACGAGCTGCTTCAGTAGATGTTTCGGGACGATACCACCAAATAGAGCAGTCGATTCCCGTCTTGGTACAACCTGCCTCCGGTCAAGACCGCGCCCAGAACCCTACTTTACGTCCTGCGATCTCGGAAGCACGAACTGACGACGCAGAAGAGTACGATTCCGAAGCCTACGAAGAGCGTTCCAGACGAGCCGGCGAATCCTTTTGGCCCCGTCGGTCGACTCGCGTCTCTCCACGAACGGCTTCTGCGATCCTCTGGACTCTCGAAGAAGCGATTCGCAAACCCTTCCCTTTCACCACAGATTGGGAGGAAGTGAACGCGTCGATGGCTGATCTTGCGGGTGCCTCGGTCTCGTCCGGACCTGCGGTTAGCGGCCGTACTCAGAATGGTGCCGCGCGCACCGCTCAAGGACCCGTCCCGGTCAACCCTCACCCCCCAAGCGGGGTTCGGACACCAACCGATATCATGAGACAGCGTCGGGATCGTGAGGCCCGGAAGAAGGCGGAACAAGAGGCAAGGGCTCGGGAGCAGGAGGAAGCGGAGCGCAGGCATCAGGAGGAGCAAGCCAAGCAGGCTCAACAGACTCAGCCTTACGCTGCTGGCGTTGCCAGTGAAAAGCCCGGACAACGGGGTGCAGCTCCCAGAACGACCGCAGCGCCCGGCATGACAACCAATGCTTCCGGAATGGCCCGCCGTGCCGACTCCCAGATACCCAGGCAACCTGTACCTCCCGCTCAGCAAGTTCCTGGTGCTCAACAACCGGCTGCTGCGAAAGGTGCTGCTCCGCCCAGTACATTCGCCAAACCACAGGGACAGGCACCTCCGGCTAGCCAACCGGACACTCTACAGAATCAGCAACAACCACGTCGGGTTGGATTTCCTCATGCCTTTGAGCGGTGGGAAACCTTGTCGTCGCACTGGGAGGGTCTGACAAGCTACTGGATTCGGAAGCTCGAGCAAAACAACGAAGCGTTGGAGCGCGACCCACTCAGCCAGCAGATGGCCCGTCAGGTCACCGATCTCTCCGCGGCTGGTGCCAACCTCTTCCATGCGGTTGTGGAATTGCAGCGTTTGCGTGCATCGTCGGAAAGGAAATTTCAGCGCTGGTTCTTCGACACACGCGCGGAGCAGGAGAGGGCAAAGGAGCTACAAGCCGAGCTCGAGAACCAGCTGAAGAACGAGCGGCAAGCCCGCGCCGAAGCTGTCGCCTCTCTACAAAAGGCCGAGATCGATAAGTCTCGCGCTGAGGAGTTGCTCAGAGAAATGCGACGTGAGCTGCAGATTTCCAAGGAAGAAGCCCGCCGAGCTTGGGAGGAACTGGGCCGCCGTGAGCAGGAAGAACGTGAGCGCACCAATTCGCTCAGAAACGGAGAGCCGACGCTTGTGGGAGGCGTGCAAGTTGTCCCTATGATTCAAGGCCTCTCCAGTCGACAGACCGCCACGAGCCGCACTTCTGCCCGGGAAAGCCCATACTCTACGGGCGAAAATCTCGGGAAACCCGAGGGCCAGTACTACGACGAGGCGCCCGTGTCTCCAGTTGAGACCGACCCATTCACCGAAGGCAAGGATCTTGCTCCTCGCCAACCTGCAACCACGGCAGCAGACTCACAAGAGCCATACGCCAGCCACTACTACCCGCAGCAAGGATCAAACATGTATGGAGGCCGACCAACTTCTGCCAATGATGATCGGTCGTACGACCCTAGTGCTGCAAGCAGCGAGCCAGGAGACGAAGAATATGGCAGCTATCGTCGAACTCAAGGCCATCCGATCGAGTATCCTCCTGCCATGTCTGAAGAGAGCGAGGAGTACGAGCATGAACCTCATGAGGAGAGCTATGCATCGAGCTCCATCCCAGCATCCTCGGCGCCTCTGTACACACCAACCACCGTCGATTACACCGGTTCCGGTTGGGGTGTCGGAGCGGGCTGGGAATCGATGACTCCTCGTCACCGCCATCCCACGCGCCTCAGCGATGTCCTTGAAGAGGATGAACCACGGACCACACCTAGCCGGGCCAGTCGTGCCAGTCGTGCGAGCCAGGCTAGCCGGAGTGTACAGTGATATGTCCTTGCAGTTCCGAATTCCACGACACGACCTCCTTTTCTGTCTCAAGCGTACATATTGCGGGTTCCCATCGCACAAGCCTCATGTTACAGTTCCATTTTCACCTCTTGTTACTCGCGTTTCGTTCTTTCGTCCAATAAGAGAATACCTGGTTCGTTTGACGCCACTTACCTCGCATGTTTTTCTGTTTGATTACTTTCTCTTTACCATTGTTCAACTAGAAGGTCTACATCGGGCAGTTATGTAATTTTAAAATAACGAGATTGATGACCATAGTTTGAAAAATAATCCTCGCAGAGCAGCATTTAATTAAATTATCACGTGACTTGATTAATGGCAGCCTCAGGCAGTCACACTAAACCACACCTGGCACCATCCGTGCATCAGACAATAAGCGTTAACCTCCGAACAAAACTTCCAAACCCCAAGGACACTCCACACGACTCACAAAACACGCCATGGCCTCATCAGTACGACCGGTTTCCCGCATTCTAGGCCGGCTAAGCCGGACCGGCATCTCGACCCTCGAGTCCAGCGCCCGCATCCCAACACAGAGAACACCCGCCCTGCTCTCCCGAAGCGTCCTCACAACGCCGAAGCAAAATGCAATTGCACCTAGCGCCTCGCAGCAGCGAGGCTTCTCGACCTCCCCCACTTGTCTCCGCGCCAAGACGATGGGCCAGCTGCGCGCGCGGAACGCAACGGGTCCGTTCTCGTGGAAGGCGGCGCTGCTCTTCGTGCTGACGGGCGCGGGGATGATCGTTTATTTCCGGGTTGAGAAGGAGCGATTGGAGCGGAAGCGGATCGCGGAGATGAGCAAGGGGGTTGGCCGGCCGAAGGTTGGAGGCCCGTTTACGCTGATGGATTTGGATGGGAAGGAGTTTACGGCGGAGGATTTGAAGGGGAAGTATAGTTTTGTATGTGCCTCGGTTCTCGTTTTCTCTCCTTGGAGTCAAAGCGGTGGTGCTAATGGTGATTTGGCAGGCGTACTTTGGTTTTACGCACTGTCCTGATATCTGCCCCGATGAGCTGGATAAGATGGCCGAGATTATTGATCGGGTTAAGGAGGCGACGAAGGGGGAGAATATCTTCCTGCCGGTGTTTATTACGTGTGATCCTGCGCGCGATACGCCCCAGGTCCTGCGGGAGTATCTGAAGGAGTTCCATCCCGATATTATCGGGTTGACAGGCACGTATGAGCAGGTGAAGCATGTGTGCAAGCAGTATCGGGTGTATTTCAGTACGCCCAGGGATGTGAAGCCTGGGGAGGATTACCTGGTGGATCATAGTATATACTTTTATCTGATGGGTGAGTTTTTCTTTTTCTTTTGTGTCAAGGGAAGGCTGCTAATGTGGTACAGATCCCGATAATGATTTCGTCGAGTGCATTGGCCGGCAGGATACGCCCGAGTCGGCATCGAAGGTGATTCTCCAGCACATCAATGACTGGAAGAGGGAGGGAAAGCCCTTGAAGCGGGATTGATCTATCGTATCTTCGTTGCTGCGCTGCGCTGTACAAAACTAGACCGAGCCTGACCCGTACCTGTACATTAGACCTGACCTCATAAATCCACATCTCTATTTTCCCCCCTCATTCGAAGACAATAGCCTCCCCTCCGCATCCCTCTCCCTATTCTCCCTCCACTCCATCCCCCCATCTACAAATTCCTCCCTCTTCCAGATCTCCACCTTCTCTTTCACCTCCTCCAGCACCTCCTCGCCCGCCTTCCACGCCATCCCCCGATGCCCCGCACTAACCGCAACCACAATCGACGCCTCCGAGATCGGAACAACCCCCAGCCGATGCGCAATATACACACCCTTTAGATCGAACTTCTCCGCCGCCCTGGTGGCGATTGACATGAGCGATTTGAGCGCGAGAGGCGGGTACGCCGTGTAGCTGAGCTGGGAGACGGCGCGGCCGTCGAAGGTGTTGCGTGTTGTGCCGAGGAAAAGGACGTTGGCGCCTGCTGCGGGGGAGGAGGTGTGTTCGAGTGCGACGGTGGGGTTCAGCGTCTCGTAGGTGAGTTCGAGATGGATGTTGTGGGTTGCGGAGGTGAGGGTTCGTGGGTAGGTGGTTGGATCGAGGTGTGGGGGGAGTGAGGGGGTGGTTGATGTTTGGGCTTGAGGCGGTTGGGTAGTCATGGTTGTGTATACCGTTGCCTTTGGCGATTGGCTGTGGTTGGTATGCACTGTATGAGATTGGGATGAAGGTGAAGGTGAAGGTAGAGGTTGAAGTTTGTCATTCCGTAGAGCAAGGAAGCTGGATGTGCTTATCGCTTATCAGTGCGGGGAAGCATTTGCAAATCGCAATGGCTATCTCTGGCTGAGTCGACTGACAACATTCGAGGCTTTCGAGAATTGAAGCGTGGTCTGCACGTAGTGTTCATCTCATAGGTCTAATTCTATTCAGGTCTATCGAATGATCGTGCGTCCATCACTTGCCGATCATCAAGCCGCATCAAGTCCTGTTACTCCTGCACAAGTACCGCAACCGCTTCATACGGTTGAAGAGACCACTTCTCTCCAGCAAATCTCGGCGACGCTTTCTTTGCCTCTTCATAAGTGTTGAGCAGCACCTCCTTCACTCCCCTGATGCCATTGGCAGCAGGATTCCACTCCAGCGTCTTGTCGGTGAAGTTGCCCACAACTAACGCCTTCTGATTCTCGAATTCTCGAGTATACGCGAAGACCTCCTGGCTATCACGGTCCACCATTTCGAAGTTGCCGTACACGAATACATCTAGATATTTCTTGCGAAGGCCCAGCACGGACGCCCAGTAGTGGTACGTCGAGTTCGGGTCGCTAACCTCTGCTTCGGCATTGATGCGCACATAGTCCGGATTGACTGACATCCAGGGCTTCACATTTGGCCCCGTGAAGCCTCCATTCGGAGCTGAACTCCATTGAACTGGCGTGCGCGCGTTGTCTCGCGATTTTTTCTGGTACTCCTGTTTAGCGATCTGCTGCGCTTTGGTGTCGAAATGCTTGTTTTTTAGCAGTCTGCCAGCGTCAGTCATATTCATGAATAGGTAGGGTGAGTACATACTCATGCCAATGGTTGAGGCAGTCAATATCCTTGTACTCCTCGATTCCCCATTCCACTGGCACGTTTCTCATGCCTAGCTCCTGGCCCTGGTAGATGAACGGCGTGCCAGCCTGTAGCGCCAGGATGGTAGCCAGGAGCTTGGAGGCTACCAGGCGGTGCTCCTCCTTTGCCTGGGTGTATCGATCAATCGACCGCGGCTGATCATGGTTTTCCCAATACAGAGCATTCCACCCATCGTTATCATACATGAACTTCTCCCATCTCTCAAAAAAAGCCTTCAAATCAGTAAGCTTCCAGCTTCCGGGCACGAACTTGTCGAATTCTCCGTGGTCAATATCCACATGCTCAAAGTTGAAGATCATGTTGATCTCGTTGCGGTCGAAACGAACAGCCTTCAGAACCTCCTCCGTGTCTTTGACGAAAGGCATCTCGCCAACACTAAAAGCGTCATATTCTTTGAGAATCTGGCCCAGACCCTGTAGGTACTCATGTAGGCGAGGCCCGTTGGCGTAGTACTTGTCGGCCCATTGCCAGATACTCCGGGGGTCCTTGACATCGGCGTCAGGGAAGCTTTGCTCTTTGCTGATAAAGTTGATCACGTCCATCCGGAATCCGTCCGCCCCTTTGTCCAACCAAAACCGCATAATGTCGTGGACTGCCTCGCGCACAGGCGGATGCTCCCAGTTGAGATCAGGCTGTTCCGTGGCATACAGATGAAGGTAGTATTCATCTGTAAGCTCATCGTACTGCCAAGCGCTTCCTACTTGTGTCAGTATTTCATTGAACTCTTCAGCTAACCGAGCATACCTTGAAAATGGGAGATCCAGTTATTTGGCGGATGACGCTTTCCCTGCTCATCGTACCTTGGTGGCTTCCATATGTACCAGTTGCGATACAGGTTATCCTTTGAACTGCGAGATTTCTTGAACCATTCATGCTGGTCACTCGTATGGTTAACCACCAGGTCCATCAAAAGCTTCATTCCTCGCTTGTGGCATCCCTCTATCAGCTTCTCCACATCCGCGACCGTACCGTACTCGTCTGCGATGCTATAGTAATCGGAAATATCATAGCCCATATCCACCTGAGGCGATTTGTAGGATGGACACAGCCAGACAATATCTACTCCGAGGTTCTTGATATAGTCGAGCTTGGAAATGATGCCGGGGATATCCCCAACGCCGTCATCGTTGGAATCTTTGAAGGAAGCTGGGTAGATCTGATAGACGGAGCACTCCTTCCACCAAGCACGGTGGATCTTGCTGCTGGGTTTGACCATATCGCAGCACACAGCGGTCTTGGTTCCGTGGACGTCGAGAACTCGTGGTTCTTTTACGATTACTTTGTTCTCGAAGGGAGGGATTGCTCAGTCTGATAAAGCATTGGCGTTCACCGCGGGGCAGCCAGCGATCACTCATGCGGAGAAATTCTCGGTGGGTTTCTGCTGCACCAACCAGTCTTTATGTAGACTCCAACGAGGTAAATTATAGGAGGGCTACATAGGGAAATTATGGGTCGTACACGCTGATCGAATGATGATGCGACACGGAGACCTGATCCGGTGTCATCCCTACAAATCACCTCTTGTTTAGCTTTGACGAAGAATTAAGGATGGGGTTCCTGGATACTTCACATACTTATACAGAGCCTGAGATTGAAATTCTGCCGAGCGATAAGTGAAATTCTGAGATTTTCCCCATCTCATCTATATCGGCGCGATCGTTTCCATAACCGAATTCGTCCATATATGCTTGCGGGCGCCCAGTATCTCGCCGGGCAACTATTCTTATCCTGTTGGTCGACATTGGAGAAATGTGTTGTAGAGCTGTTCTAAGACAAGTCTGACGCCTTGGATCAACATCAGTATCCATTTGTGCCACGTTATGCCGTTCAACGTCCGAGGAAAGTCCGAACGAAGCCACCCTACAGAGCACGAATCAGCAACAGCGTTGGCACTATTTCTCAGAATGAGTAATACACTGGGTGAGGCAATTGTAGCGAATATGAAGCTCTTTAGACGGACACGAGGAGCAAAATACCTATGCATACAAGGTCAGTTCATGGCCACACGATCTCCTCTGGGACAGGTCAGGTAGGGGGATACACCCGCCAGTGGCACAAGAATAACCCTAGGTAATGCTTGCGTTTACCATCATGATGGTCATGCTTAACAAATGTCAGCCAGGTGTGTGTAAAGCAACCCTTATGTGTGTTTTGGGTTCAATTTGGTCCATGCAGTTAAGAAGATTTCAGCGAAATTCTGAATATTGTGATAAAAAGTCAGCTCATGTAGACAAAGCTGACGCTCCGGGTGTCATATTTTCTGATTCGATATTATGGGATGGTGGTAAACAAACAAGTACAGGAAACGTAAAATCAACTGATATATTTGGCAAAAGGAGTGGAAGCTGAAGCTTGGGCCCCAGATGCTTCACTGTCTAATCAATGCTTCTCAGTTCAATGCGTGTCAAACGTCTACGCGCTTGGGAAACAGGCCAGAGCATCTTGTCTAGGTATATTGCTTCTCCATTAACCAAATGCCTGCCCGCCTCTATTATAGACTTCTTGCGAGATACTACCAGTTCAACTACCACCATTGCCTCAATTCTACATATGTGCTTACTGTGAGTGTCTGCCTAACCTCCGCAATATACCTAACAAGTTACTGCTGAAGGCACTTGTACTGACACCGTTCTCGCCGATTAGCCGATTTGACTCCTAACCCATCCTTCGCCGACGCTGACTTCTTACCGGGTTCCAATCTCACCTAGCAACAGAGGTGATCTGTAAAAGCACACTATGCATGGGATGTAAACATACTGGTTCGGCAGGGAGTCGGTTTTGCGCTTGATTGCGTCAGGAAGCCAACATTGAGTCCGTATGATTCAATATTGACAGTTTGGACCCATGTTAGATTCTAATGTGTACACAAGGTCACTCATACCCATAATCAAACCATCCGAAGTCGCTGGTTACTCACACCACGGAAGGATGGGCTGTGAATGCTTGACGGATGTTCGAGCTCGTAGTCTGTCATGTTGGAGTTCTTCAGTCTAGTTCTTTTTAGACATTGTCGTCAGTATATTGTTGGTTAACTTCAGTACGTATTAACTTCGCTCCATGGTGATTGTAAAGTAGTAGGTCTCTAAGTACTCCGTGCACGAAGCGGAATATATATATATCGGACTAACCGAAATCGACTTGGACTATGCCTACAGGATTGTGCATCCTTCGATCTAGACCCGGACGTTCAGCGTCAAATATATTGCTACTGTCGCTTTCAGCCTTTCACATGCCTAAGATGCAAGGATCAGCACAGCCCGTGTCCCCATCGTGTCTCACTGACATGAGCACTGACCTTGGCAAGAAGCTCAGATCACTACAAGCAACTCCTCTAGTCCTATTTCAAGATATTTCCGTCCTATCATTATTACTCGATTGACTGAAATACTATTCCTACAGAGCACATAACCTTACTATGTATCCTTCTACATCTCTTGCCGGTTGGGCCTATGCCCTACTTCTTTTGGCGTTATCGAGGCACACTGACGCGACATCGAATTCCGAGAGGTCTGATCAGCAAGCGACTTCTGGCATACGACGTAAATTGCACGAAACTAACATAAATGCAGACAAAACCGTCCTGAAGAATGTACTCGCCCCCCTCTCAACAGTTGCGACTTCTACGCGCAGTGCCTCGAGTCTCGATACCACTGTGGACCATCAGGCTATCCGATTGGATTCGGCCAGAAATTCTGTGAAAAGTCTCTTGTCTGGAGACCCAAGATGAGCGCATCCGGACAGGAATGGATCACCAAGACGATTCTCTGCCTGCAGGAGGAACTAGTCCCCTTCACCAGTGGTTCAGAGTCGCAGAGCTGCAGTGAGCTGAAGCAGTATGCCCTCGGCACGCATGCAGGATGCTACGTGAAAAGTGGTGTCTGCACTCTGCCGATTGAGGATTGGGGGAGGATCTTGGAAATTGTCGCCCCAGCTTTGATTTCCGAACTGGAGAACTTCAAGTCGGCGTTTGAGACTGCCGGAGACTGCGTGTTGCTGTATATCTGGTTATTGGCCAGGTCTTCTCGCAGCTCTGTGTCTTCTCTAATTTGAATTGGACTTCTACAGTCTGCTCTTGGTGCGCGGATTCGAGATTGGGAGGGACGGGTCGGGCCCTGTCTTAGAAGGTGATACACAAGCAGTAGACCTGACTGTAGAATAATAAGATTTTCCGCGAAGCTGGGCCATAACAGCAGTACATACTATGCCGACGGACCTTTGACAATGAATATCATACTTGTTTGATGTGCTCGATCTTTCTTGTCTGCAGTTCGACGATGCAATCTGAATATTGGAACGTTCCTAAGGTACTAGAAGGACTTGTATCAAAAATATCGCGCCTCAAACTCTGTGGATGCTCACGGGGCATGAAAAGTAAAATGTATGTTTTCCTCTCTAATGTTGGCCTTGAGATGGCCTCCAACTAGGTGCCTGTATGAACGAACGATGTTGACCAGCCTTCCCCGAGGTACATTTAACACCTCAAACACTTCCATGCCAGTCATCACGCCATCCAGGACTCGATTCAGCGCAAACGTCTTTTCCTCTCCATAAACAGGAGGCGATATAACCTCCTGGTGATTCTACCGCTGTCCGTCCCACGAAAGCGCTTTATCGTTCTCCGGTATAAGTGAAAGAGTAGCGTGTGAAAAATTTGGATCATGTACTTTACGTCCAAAGAACACGCAAGATCCGTTGCTTGTACGATTAAGTAGATCGAGAACAGGTTGGGATGCTCAGCCTATGCAGAACAAATATCCATCATTAGCCTCTTACTTCAAATCAACCCAGGACTTTGATGTAATCGCTTACGCGATGTACCCTTCCTGCTTCATGTCCATTGTGACCCGGTAGGAGGTGATTGTAACAAAGGCTATTACCGTCAGATAGTCAGTAGACTTTTCGTGTCTGATTCGAGGAGGAACTATTGGTGTCTATTGCTCTTCGACGTGCTCCGCTCTGCTTTGACCAAATCCTTGATGGAGCACGCGTTCTGTCGCTCTGGAACCGAAGCATCAGCGGGTGAGAAAGCACATCAGAGGGAAGCAGATCCGTAGCTGAACTTACTCTATAGATGCTTAGATTATGTTGTTTCTTGTGCGCGTGTCTCCAATGTTCCTATTCGGTTGCCCTCTATTCAGTTAGTATTCATGGTAATGGCCCGAATATAATGTGAAAGTCTTTTGCAGCTACGACATACCTTACAAGGCATGTAATATCCCGGATCAGATCAGTAAGCAGCTCGAGGACAAACAGCACTATAGAGGGAAGAAGTAGCATCAGCAGAAGATGAAGCAGACTGATTCTCGAGCATACCATGGAGGCCACGCACAATGCATGAGTGTTTATGGAGGCCCAAAGGAGATATTAAATAAAGGTATAGACTTGGGATTTGAAGCTTCTGATGCCTAAATCCCCTTTCGGACGCTGTAACCTCACCCTCTAGCCTCCATATCAACATTTCAAAGATAATAGTATAGCATAATAGCATTATGTTCTTGCTTGACTTGGAAAGGCTTATATGTCTAGCGAAAGCCTTATATAAGGTTGCTCCCTATATACAATGCTCTTATACTGGTCAGTCAAGACGGCCCCTGCAGCAAATGCACAGCTCATAATGAAGTATAACATAACTATGCTTTGATCTTTTCCACTTTCACGTCCTGTGCTGTCCCTGCTATAGTAATAACTATCTCCTGCTAGTGATGACAGCATCATTCACAATCAAGTTCCACTTCTACATGGATACAACCTTTCCGAACCGCCTGATGTCTTGAACCTGTTTCTTGAGATGGGTCAGCTGGGAGGTCTGGGTCAAATTAACGGAGTATTCCGTGAGATTATTCACGGCACACCCCATATAGAAAGCTCTCGCACTGAGAAGAACAGGGAAGAGGCGCCATTGCCTCTTCTAGGAAGCATATCATTCACGTACAACGCTTCTCTAGGAATAGCGCCACCGTCATCGGCCTCTCCAGAAGCAATGATGGCAGAAATCTCTGCTTTGGATATTCACGACTCCAAAAGATTAAGCGAGATAGCTGTTATAGCGCACTCTTAAGCGACAAGATCTCAGGTATAAATTCTCCCTTCTTCTCCTGCTTCTGCTCCTCTTTCTCTCTTTCCCTCCTCACCCCTCTTCACATCGATCTTCTTCTCTTCCTTCTTGAAACCTTCTGATTCTCATCGATCAACAACATCTTCGCTCATACACCCCTTCTTGTGACTCTCTGTCAAGCTTCAGTCACAATAAAGTTCTCCACTCTCGCTCTCGGCGTGTTTGCTGGTATGGCAGCTTCTGCTGCTATACCTGCTTCTGTCGTCGATGGCATGAACCTCTCTGACAACGGTTTTGGTACGTTCTTACCTCTTGTGTTTTGTCTTAGCCCACCTGACTCTCTTTTCTCTTCTTTCCACCGTTCGAAGCAACTGTCTTATCCTACTAACACTTTTCTTCCTTCAACCTCAACAGGCCTTGTCAACTCTGCTGATCCCGTTTGCCACAAAAATTCTGACTGCGGTCCTGGCGTTGGCTATTGCTACAAAGGAATCTGTGTTGCCGACCCTCCCAAG